TATGGCTCCTGTTCTACCCTATCACTGTATCAATTTTGCGTCAGTTACAGAGATTCGTATCGCTCAGACCACTTCGCTGAGATTCTCGAAGAACCAATCGCCCGAACTATCTGCCTGAGACTTCGGCTAGTTACCGGCCACATGGTGGAGGAGCGACAGTTTCATCACTCAACGGCACAGTGAACGAAAAGAAATCTTTAGACCAACACTGGCGCCCCCATCTGACTCGGTCGCTGGGGTGCCCTTTCCCCGTCTCTGCGAATTAGAAGCTGAACTACGGAGCAGTTCCATTTGAATGATATCTATCGGCTAACGCCGTAATATGGGTGCATCTTTTCACTGTGTAGAGCGGATGAACGAATCATTGCCGGCAAACGTTTCACGTGATTCTATTTTAGCAATAAACTTCATTTCACGAACTACTTTCGACTAAACTAACGAATTAGCTTGCAAATTTTAACCTAAATGCGCTAAAAACTAGAAATTACAATTTCATTCCAATCTCCGTCACTTGTTAACAAACTGAACGAACCAACGTCAACAGCTAGCACATTTTTCTTTGGGGTGAAGTCGCGACGCTCTCAAAAATGCTGCCAAAGACGACATAAATCTCGATCAGCGCTAACATCGATCAAAAACAGAATTAACAATAAAAAATGACAAACCAACCTCCTCAAGAAGCTTCTTCAGGCCTTCAACGTCGTTGAAAGTCTTCGCCATTGGTTTCACTCGTTGCGAGCCGAGCACTAAAACAAACTAAGTGTGAATCAAATTGGCCATGATTGTCAACTGTCAGAAGAAAAAGTGTAAAACCGAGATTCGTTTATCACTGAAAGTATCGGAAAAACTTTACTTTCTGCTACGAATAAACATGTTCTACTTATCAAATCGCCAAGTCAACTGAGCCAGAACCAATACTCTGCTCCATAACCTTCTTGCGTGCGACCGAAGCACGGAAGACATCAACCGGGAGGCCAGCACGCAACAGGGCGGTAGAGACAGGTCCGCTCATCGACAGAAATTGTTCTTTCTACGACACAGTAACCGATGTCTCGTAGTACGAATGTTTAAAAGTTGAAAATACAGCGGGCATCAAAATCCTGAAACGTTCTCCTAACGGAAATGGCTAAAAGTGACGATCTGAAGCACACAACGTACAAATCTTTCGGCTGTCATTTCCGTATTCAGCATACGGCGCAATCGAAGCGGTAACCGCAGGAAACCATTTGTCAAACACAAAAACGTGACAGTGCATTTTGGAAAGTTACCTGAGATCCGACCGGCGAGCAGGCACTGCGTAACGGTCTGCCACCACGGAATCTGACTGAGAATGGTGCGGCCAGATTTCCTGAGCAAACGCAGAAATTTTCAGTCTACCTTTGAAACGAAGTGGATGAGACGGTGACGAGAAAGTGTTCGAAGCTCTTACCCCGAAGAACAAGTGCTTTTGCGACGAATCGAAAAATATCGTCAATAAGAGTACCTGACGGGATGCGGCAGGTGGACCTCTGACGATATCAGTCGAAAGGAGACTCTCATGCGGCCCTTGAAATGCCCAGTCAAAACGCAGACTAGCCGCGTAACGCAAACGCGATGTGCGGTAAAAAACGACAAAGACAACACATCAAAACCTCTGCTGCTTGCGGTCGTCGCTTTTCGCCAGTGACGAAAGGTAAGGGCCCTCGTTAAGTCATACTTGAAACAGAAGATGAGTGTCGAACGTCTAACCGAGAAATAACAGATCAATCGGGCTGGTGAAAAAACGTCGACATCGCGAAGCACTAAATACGATGGCCCGAAGACACACAGCGCATGATAACTTTTTTTTACAGCGTCGTTAGGATGTCAAGCAAGCATCGGGCTCTGGCGACGATACTCAAACGGTAGTAAGTCACGCATGAAAGACGGTCCACACGCAGTACTTATA